ATCAGCCCGGGCATTTGACGACCATTTGAGTGGCCCGTCTAGAACAAAAAATCATGACGACAGTGACCCGATGGTCGTCCAAGCGTATGAGACAGGTTTTAGAGGTCCGGCTATAGATACTCTTATCCGTTGGTTACCCGAGGAGATCGATGCGCGGTGACACAATCGCGCGCGAGAGAGATGGACGTGCCGTCTAGAGCTGTAGAATTTTTTGAAACATCTAAATATGACTTTTCGAAATTTGTATCATGGGAGCATGTAAAAGGTGGTATCACCTGATATCTACCCGTAGTCCGTAATCTCCAGTGCCACTTGCCCACTTGCCAGCCTGCAAAGCAGCAAACAAATATTCCTCTGGTGATTTGCATTTCCCGGCGCGCGCACCGCAGACCGCTCCATGCGGCCATGTCCATGCCGGCCTGCTCCCGGGCGCGGGATCGAGGAGAGCAATCCACCGTAGTACGTACGGGTCCGGGCGCGCAGCACCGATCGACTGGTCCAGTGTTTTCACCGGCCGAAGCGGGAGAGAAGCGAGCAAAACTAGCAAAGCGCGGGCGCACCAAGCACATCTCGACATCTCGTACGCGTGCGTCGGGCGTCTGCGCGGCCGCGCGAGGGTGACCGCGATGTAGGCGCACGCACGCGCCGCGTCCATCCATGGCCGTCCATCTCTGCTGTGACGTGGCAGCGCCATCACCCGCGCCTGCCTAGCTTATCCCGTCGTGGTGTTAACGCGCATGAATCGGCCATGGATGATGGGCACCGTCCGGGACCCGGTGAGTTGCGCTGGGGGCTGGTGGTCGGGGCATTATGCCGTCGGATGGAGGTGCGATGCCAGTGCCGCCCGAGTGCGCGCCGCTGGCCTTGGCCCTGGGTTTGGCTGTTCGAGCCTACAACGGCCGTGTTTTAGTTTTAATTAATTGGTCTGTTTAGGACACATCTAGATGATTTCAAATCTAATTTGATGTTCACTATATTTGTGATCTATTTTTTTGTTCCTTCTTGCTATGTATTTGTGAGAGTTTAGATATGACATTCTCAAAGAACATGTAGATGTGAATTAGGCAAACTGTTAGTTTAAACTTTGGGAGGCGGTAACGAATCCTCCTATCACTGGAGCTGAGAGGCCGAGATTTGGTTGGGTTCAGTTCGTTTATCTATTCATTATTACACACCGTGTTTAGTTAGGACTTGGAAAGCTTAGCACCAACCTTAGTTAGCATCTCCACGCGTAAGAACATTTCAACGTCTATCAAAGGTAACTCGCGCACCTTTATTACAAAAGTATGCTTGTTATTGGATATCATAAACAATTTTGCAGTAACAGTAACTTCTGAGTGGAACCGAAACTTGTCGCCATGTTATACGAAGTTTCAGGAGCTAAACCGAAGGCGACCTTCGTGGTTTTACGACAAGCAACATTGGCAAAGTAAATAATATGCTTAATTATCTCGCAAAGCTGTTTTTTATTGATCAAGTTTGGGTTGCAAAAAGTTTGGCGCGGTAATGGAGGTTGCAAGTAATAAGGTACTTCACAAGAAAAAAGGTTCTACGTGTAAGATAAGTTGTCTGGCCCTTTTTAAAGTGAATTCGACCTTTTACCTCTTATACATGTGTAATTTTGGCAGCAATTGCTCCATTTGATGAGAATCCACTCGGCCCTATTGTTAAAGTGGAAGCCCACGGTCCCACCAGTCCCACCTTTAGTGAGAACACTTTTCATTCAAATGCGAGATCATTTACAAGTGACCATAGGGTGTTTATACTCCTACAAATTACCACGAACATCCTTGGTGGGGAGGAAAAACAAGGGCATAATTGACTAGTCTAAGGTGCCCTTAAAAATAAAGAAAAACACGATGATTCAATTCGGAGCCCGGCTCATCTAAACCCGGTGAGCAGTAAAATCAAATAAATAGTAAAAAATTCAAAAAAATGAAACTCTTTTGCAACATAACTGGCGGTTCTTTGAGTCCTCTCATCCAAAGTACCAATATATAAATTTAAATCGGGTGGAATAGCCAGAATGCGGGTAATAAATTGACTGTCACCGTCCAGACCTTTTTTACTAGGTATTGACTCAAAGGAAGTATTGTTAAAGACAAACAAAAGATTTGTTGATATTACCTGTCATGTTCTTAGGCTTCGCATGATTCTGAATTTGTTTGATCTCATGAGCCCTTTGCATAATAGTTGTTCCAATGAACTGAATCCCACTACTTTGTCTCGTTGCTTGTATAGGGCCCCACCTCTTACCTGCAACTGCGGTAATTGGAGGAAATGCTCTTCAAATCGACCTTTCTCAAGGATGAATAGAAACATGGGCTACAACAGCAGCATCGCCTTGAGCATTAGTGTCTTGGTCATCTTCAGCATTATCCTGTCTCTACTATCCTGGCCATTTTCATAAACAAATTGTACATCTTCCTCACCATCTCCATTTCTCCAAGCAGGTTAAAGCATCATTCTTTATTTTGGGTGATCTACTGTAATAGGATCTCTCCTTGCATTCTGTAGAGATTCGGGCACCTGGCCTTTTAATAGAGAAGTAGAATCTCAGGCCCAACATAGTCATCGAGTATTTGTTGTAGAAGTCCATAACCACATGTCTAGTTGAGTTGATGTTCTCATAGACATGTTAACCATCACCTTGATTGAATCTCTTCATAGAGCTTCTACCGAACCTATCATCTTTAGCCATATTGTTGTTGTTTCTATCAGAAATCCCATACATATCCATAGTTTCTTGTCTAACAGCCTCAGTAGGATCCTCAATAGCAGGTAGTTTAGTTACATCACTTGGACGCTCAACGTCAACCAGGACCTTGACAACTCTCCATCTATTCCAAACACTTTATCCTCAGGAACCTTGGCGTAATCCTGGCAAGTAATCTTCACCCTGATAGTCTTCTAGAAACTTTGGAAATTGTGATGCCAATCAATATGTCAAGGAACACGAAAAACAGATGTGATCAGACCAATGATGGTCTAGTCACACCATTTTGGGTTCATTTTCCTAATCTTAATCTAGACCTCTTGCACTGAGGCAATAACATCAACACCACCTTTCCAGACCTCTAAATTAACAAACACACTCCCCTTAGTCAAACCAAAACAAGGATAGCCAACCACATACTCTATTGTAATCTCATGTGAGAACTTAACTAGGAAGGTCCTGTCATCAAGTGCATTTATGTGCGAGGGCCAATCTTTTTGTAAATGTCCTAGAACTGTTTAGCTAATTCATGTGTATTAATCTTGCCATATTCAGTATACACTATTCCAATGTTCTTCAGTGATCCTAGGTGTTGAGCATTAACATCAGGCATGTCGAGATGGTAAAACCCTAGATCTCTAGTAACACTACCACAATACCTAGCAACAATGTGAGGTTTCTTTCTAGTGCGACAACTCTCCACCTGTGATTCACCATCTTGCAGATGAAATAAGCTTTTGGTTTAGTGCACTTATCCATATGGTGCCTAGGCTCTCCATACCCAACGCAAACAACATTAACATATGACATCAAACCAAGAGCAGCACCACCACCTGAGTTAGGCATCCAGTGATCTTGCCTCTTCTTATGTTGGTTTTTGTTGGCCATAGCCTCCACACCGCACTAACCGCGCCCAACACCTCCACATCGCAACAAGGGTGCGGCCAACCGCTCCATCTCACCCCCATGGGCGTGCATCGGGGCGGATCCAGGGCGCGCAGACCGACAAGCTCGAGATCCCCTCGACGCGCCGAGTAGTAGCCCTATACTATGCGCCTCATCAGCAGGGGAAAGCGCCCCGCTGCCGCCTTCCTTAGGGCCAGACCGGGCTTCCCCAGCGGATGCCCTCTGGCCGTGGAGGGGGGGGGAGCAGGGAGCAGTGAGGAACGGTGGTGGCGCTAGGGTTTCTACCCCCGTGTCGGCAGAGCGGGGCGGCGTGGGGGTCGGGGTAGTATGACGTTTTCCTGCGCTTGTTCAAATGACAACATACTTAGGATATCATGATGGGCTTGAGAAACAACAGTCCCTACCCTACCCTCCTTTTCTTAATATAGTAGTAGAAACAAGCTACGTTTATACACGTAGCATGTCTGCTAGACAAAAAGGAAATAGTACATCCTACTCATCATGATGACACGATGCCAACGAGAAATAAACCATGTATGCATGAGACCTCAACGGGAACAGCTAGAAGCATGCCCACGAGGGTCACCAAATCAAACAAAAACTACCAGAACTTAACCCAGAGGGTGACTCCAACAGCTACGATCCAACAATTCGGCGATGAGCGAAGCTAGACGAGAGCCCGACAAATTAATTGCCCCCATGCATCAACATCTCTTGTGGCCCTGGAGCAGCAGTCGCGTACGGGAACACACTCGGAAAAAAAGTCCACCTGACACGGCTAGTCCGCCGTCGTGGGCCAGCCGCGCCGGGACCAAAGGACGACGTACGTACGACCTGTGCACCACCCCGTCGGTCGGGCCCGGCGACAGCGTGCCCCCTCCTCACCGTAGCCATCCCTCCACCTTCCACTCTCACTGCTCCGCCGTACCTATCCGGCTATCCCGCTCACCGCAACTGAGGCCTGACGCGCACGCGACGATCGCCCGGTACGGCCAGCGACCCCGACACCGTAACCCGATTATTCCGACGGGCCGGCCTGTCAGCGACGCACACGATCCATCCGACACGAAGGCCCAAGGCCGGCCGGGTTCCGTAGCAAAAAGGACGCCGTACGTACAGGCAGCGCACGGGTGCGCCACGCACCGGCGGCTTAATCTTCTAACCTAATCTCCTCCCGGCCCGGTCGAGCCAAGCAGAAGCAGTCCTATAAAAACCACCGCGAGTGCCGCGAAGCACACCGCACCACAGACCACACACGCACACCTCTCGCTCGGCTCTAGGCCTCTAGCCAGCTATCCAGCAGCAAGTAGCTTCCCGGCGGCAGCGACGGCGAGAGGGCGGCTGCAGTCGGGCCGCCGGCGAGGGAGCTGCCACCATCATGCAAGGGGACCAGGCGGAGAAGAGGGGGAAGGTGAAGAAGGGGTGGCTGGCCGTGCGGGTCGGCCAGGCCCAGGCGGAGGCGGAGCAGGGCGACGGGTTCCGGCGGTTCGTCATCCCCATCGCCTACCTCTACCACCCGCTGTTCCAGCGGCTGCTGGAGACGGCCCGGGACACGTATGGCTACAGCTCGGCCGGCCCGCTCTGGCTGCCCTGCTCCGTCGACGAGTTCCTCCGCCTGCGCGCGCTCGTCGACCGGGAGACGGCGCACTCGCACTCCTCGTCGTCGCACCGCGTGCACGTGCAAGCCGGCGGCCACCACCAGCAGCAGCACGGCTACTCCTTCGCCCCGTGCACCCGCGCCAAGGTCACCTCCTGATCGATTATCCAACATCGAGCCCCGGCCGGCCGGCTTTCGTCTGTTGAGCACCGGAGCGCGCGAGCGGGAGGAGTTCATCGTGTTTCTGCCACCTGCCGGAGACGACAGTCACACATGTACACGTACACGTACATAGACAGGGAGAGAGATACCAGATACGGAGAGGTATGAGAGGCAGTCACACTAGGTGATTAGTCTGGGATCCATATTGCTTATGATTTTGGTTTTTGTACGGCTTTCTTTCTCTTCTGATTCTTGCCCATGTGCATGTATACTACTACTAGATTGGTTAATTAACAGACCACCGATGTATAATTAACAGTTGAATTCGAACACAGTCGTCATATATATACAGCCCCGTATACATACGCAACTTGTTCCGCTTGACTTGCTTCCATATCTTTCTGCAAACTTCGAGCCCAAAACTGAACAAGATCAAGTTCAAAATGGAACACACAGTTCAGCAGTGCTAATGTCGAAACGGCGATGAAGCAAGATCAGGATTACTGTATGGCAGACAGGCTTCGAGCTCGATAGGCGTACATATGATCTTGTGTTGCCTCAATCCTTTCATGAAAGCAATCATATATTCCAATTAATCATGATGAAGCATGCATGGGGTCCTTGGGGAATTTCGGGTGCCGCGTTTCTTTCCGCTGGTGGATTCACGTCGTGTCGTTCAGGGGTGGGGGTTCGATCATCACTTGATCAGCATCGAGTCTGAGAGGAGGAGGTGAGGAAAGAGGTGGGAACAGGCAGCACTCGCTTCAGGCGGCCTGATCCCCAGCACATCCTCCATATCTACCTCTAGCTATCCCTTTCTTGCTTTCTGGATTATTATTCGAAGACCCTACTTGGCTTTCCTGATGCAAAGCCAGGCCATCGCAACGCATGATACACACGCGTACCACACCATGCACGCCTGCGTACGTACCTCCGTCATTTTTTGACGGAGAGTAGTAGTACAGTTTCAGCGGCACAAAACACTTTTGAAAGTACAGGTTTCATTCACCTAATTCTTCTCTGCTTTTTTGTGCGACGGGTTACACTTTTACTTGTTTTAAACGACATTGAATTAACCCATTTGCAACGTAGTGGATGGATACAGGCCATGCAGCAACTAGCCAGTACATATGACAATTACGCATGCGTGCGGTCGTGCATCACCATTTTTGATTCGGTATAAACTTAACATAATGCTCTTTGACATGTGGGGTCCTGTAACTTATTACTTCCTTCATCCCAAAATTCTTGTCTTAAATTAAGACAAGAATTTTGGGACGGAGGGAGTATGTTGCTTGACGTGCTAGGCGATTCTACATAATTACATAAGGTAAGTGCAATTTTTCTCTTTATAAAAAAAGTTGCATTTTTTCTGCTAAAATAAACACGACTAGTATAGTACTAAACGGTGTGATAGGCCCAAGCCTCTGATTCTCGGTTAAAATAATGATAATACTGATTAAGCTTCTGTTAATTAATTGGTAGCCCAGGCCACAAGGAAGCAGGCAGACGATCGGTCGATAGCACGCAAGAGTTTTCGTTGCCGAAGTCTCAAAAAAAAAAAAAGCAAAGTCGCCGGCGCACATAACTATTATTTAAGTGATCACACCGCCGCACGGTCAAACTGGTACAAAACGCCGTATATACCATTCGCCAGCCTAGTTGCAGGCAAAGGTATGAACCAAAGAAGGTCGTTTTAGTCCGTCCGTTTCTGTATTCTGTACGTCCGTGCGTAGTTGAGCTGCTTAGTTTCAATTTTCCCAGTAATTAAAGCAAGGGACAAAAAAACCTAGTGCGGAGCTCGTTAACTGACGAACGTCCAGTCGTCGTCTCCAATCTTTTAACCCCAATAATCCTAGACGTACAGGTGTTTTACGCGTCTGTTACGGACCCCCTCTCGCTAATTCGCTCGTCCCTTCACTACCGGACTCGCGGTCTATGCCTACGGCCAAGGGCCGTCGGCATAGGTCTATGCCTACGGCTGCCGTTGGCATAGACCCGTCGGCGTAGATACCGTCAGCGTAGTCTTGTCAGACCGTCGGCATAGTAAAGCCGTCGGCATAGGGGCCTATGCCGACGGCCTGGCGTCAGCCGTCGGCATAGTATAGCCGTCGGCAGTCTTTTTCGTCTGACGGCAACGGACGGCGCCGTAAAAAACGAGGACGAATCATGCAAGTCCATCTATGCCGACGGCTTTGCCGTAGGCATAGCCCTGCCACGTGTCTTCTTCTGGTTACTCCTGGCAGCAGAGGTATGCCTACGGCTTTGCCGTCGGCATAGATTTTCACCTATGCCTACGGCAAAGCCGTCGGCATAGATCCGCCACGTGGCGAGCCCTGGTGACTCCTGGGCTTATATATGCCGACGGCTTTGCCGTCGGCATAGTTTTTTTTATTATTATTTTCCCTGTTTTTTCTCTTTTCCAATTCATTTGACAGCATTTCAAAACAGAACAATATGAAATTATGCAGAAATATGACAGTTCATCATCTAAACATACTCAAGTTCACCATCATCATCTAAACATACTCAAGTTCATCACATCATCTAAAGATCATCACCGACTCAAGTTCATGAACATAAAAGTTGTGCAAGACATGAAACATCATAAAAGTAGGAATATGAAAGGCATGGCACGACGGCCACATGCACGGAATCATCAAGCAAGACCACCTCCGCCAAAACCACCACCTCCGCCAAAACCACCACCTCCACCAAAACCACCACCTCCGCCAAAACCACCACCTCCACCAAAACCACCACCTCCGCCAAAACCACCACCTCCACCAAAACCACCACCACTCTGCCAGATCGGAGTGACTGGGGTTGACGGAGCAGGAGTCGACCCACCGGTCCCCTACATGTTTCAGAAAAGATTCTAACAGTAAATATGATATGATAGTGTTGAATGAACGAGAACTAGTTTGTCAGTAGTTAGGCAAATGTACTAACCGGACCATCACTGCCTAGTGCCACCCATTCATCGAACGTGGGCACGTGTGGGGGTTCTCCCGCAGGTGGTGGTGGGGGTCCCATTTGTGGTGGACCCGTGCCGTTACTCCAAGCCGCCAACATAGCCTGAATGTTAGTTAAACAAGCAAACTAGAAGATCAGAAGGAATGAAAGTGCAAAAATTTAGCTTGGTTTTAAGAGGGCAGAACTAACCGTCATCATCTGACGGTTGTAATCATCGTTTGCCTTCACTCGTTTCAAGTACTCCCGCACCTCGAGATTCCTATGCTCGACAAACTCCTTATATGCCTACATAATTTAGATTGTTTCTAAGTGAGCAATGCTGAAAATAAATTGAGAATGCTAGATAGAAAAAGATAAAGAGGAAGTACTTAAAGCATGCTGGCGGGCTAAAGGAGTCTGTGAACGCCCCGTACTCTCTAACTGGCTTGGGTTGCTAGCCCGAAGCTGTGTGTACGAGATCGAAGGAGTGATCAAGCCGTCGAAACATGGATACCGGCCATTCTTCTTCCCCTGGATGGCCACCACCACTGTGTCGTCGATCTGAGACTGGGCGACCTCGGCAACAGGAACATCCGGATGCAACTCCTGATAGTGATGAATGTAAGACCCCAGGTGCTCCTCGGTCTTGCCGTAGTACTGGCTCTCGCCCTCCTTGCGACGACTCCGCTCGCGGGCCAGCTTCCACGACTCCATGTCTGAGAGCGGCCTCTTCAACTTGTCCTCCTACAACGTCAAATAGAAGTTAGCCATACATAAGAACATGACGGTAAAGAAGAACAAAAATGCATCATGCACATAGATATACCTTCATGGCCTTGAAGCTCCAGTGGTTCCTGTTTCCTTGGCCGTGTGTCCCGTCGGCTCCACGGTTAGCCCGGCCCTTGATGCTCTTGGCAGCAAACTCTGCATCGGCGCCGAGCCACCTATCCACCAAACTCGCCCATCCGTCATGCCTTCCATAGCACCAACAAGGAACAACCTATGCAAATTTTGGAAGCATGACATGTGAGCACGAAACATAGAGTTGACTGCTTGAAACAATGAAAAGTTAGTAATAGTTACCATCATGAACTGCTCCCTGTTCAAGGTAAGTCGCTGCTTCTGCGCTTGACTTTTGGTCATCTTTTGGTGCAGGTAGTAGTGGTAGTACTGCGAGACGGCAACCCAGCGCACCTCGTACTGCAACTGACGAGCTATCTTCTTCGCAGCCGCAAGCAAGACCACGTCGGCTCTGGCCTTGTGCTCGTCAAGAACTCTATAGAGTTGCTGCATAAACCAGAAGCAAACAAGGCATGAGTTGAGTGATCCAATGATAAACTATGAACGAAACTGAAGACAAGTGATTAAGAAGAGAACTTACCCAAAATTTGGTGATCACGGCCTTAGCGGCTGTCCCGTACTCCGCGTTGCTGCAAGCCTCGTAGTGGGCCCAACTCGTGGCCAAAACCCGCAGTTGCGGGTCCCTGTCTGGCCGCGGGCAGAATAGGCCAGACCAAAAGTGCTTCAACAGGACAGTGATAAGGCCGTTCGGTTTACGGCCATTTCCGCGAAGGATCCAGTTTCTCCAAAAGAATCAAATGATTGCCATGTGTACAATAAGAAAATATTGTCATGTGTTGAAAATATGATTGAGAGGCACTTACTCTGTCCCCACAGGTTCAATGATCCACTTGTGCTCCTCGATAGAAGGTGGTGTAGGTAGTCCGGCATTACCACGCAGCCACCCCTGCGGAGCACCCGGTGGCAAGTCACCCCACAACTCGGGATCAACCTCCCCTCCACCCTCCTCGCCCTCCTCCTCACCCTCCTCCTCGGCCTCCTCCTCCTCACCCTCCTCCTCGGCCTCCTCCTCCTCGCCATCAGGAACATACTCCTCCTCCTCAGACTCAGAAGGTGCCTCTGTATGGGAGGGCATCGAAGAAGACCCTCCTATTTCGGACATGGCCTGGAGTTTTTTGCCCCGAGTGCCTCTCCCCCCACCTCCTCCTCCTCTAGGGGCTCTCCCCCCACCGCCTCCTCCT